CCATGATGATGATGATGATGATGATGATGATGATGATGATGATGATGATGATGATGATGATGATGATGGTGATGATGAAAGTTGGCCGTCAATGTCTGACGATAACCAATTTCTCAAGCAAAATATAAAAATTAAAGATTAAGATGACGTGCGGCTGCTTCTGTTATAGCTGATGGGACCAATTTTGGATGAAAAAAATGTGCCACGTTTTGAGCAGGCTTTTGCAAATGATCAATACAGTTTTGCTGGAAAGTATAAAGGACAATCATTGGCAAACAGCAGTTAACAGACCTTGACCTTGACCATCAGTAATTTATTTATAGATGCACCAGCCATCCATGTCCGGGGGCTGTTTTAGTCTCTTTTTCCCAGTTAACTGACACGCATCAGGCTAGTTTTTTGTCTTTACTGTAGCCTACCAGAGTTGGAGACTTTGCCGTCCAGTCTGTACTGGATATCAGCTCTATTAGGTAACGTTCTGGAATGCTTCGTGAATATTCGCTGGGAACATGATGCAGAGAACCTGCTTCGCTCCATTTGTCACATAAAAGGATTCAGGCACATGCACTTATATGACCTATTGCAGTTGCAAGCGCCGTAAAACTCGAACTAAACTAAACTCTGATACTGCACCATTGCTCTTGACAGAGGCTGTCATTGCGTCATGAAATTGGAGAACAACAGAAGGCCAATTGAAACAGACACACACTAGTCATTAATTAACTATATTAATAACAACACACCCTCCACCAACAACAGCAACAACAACAGCAGCAACAACAAACTCAACAACAACAACAGTGATAATAATACTAATAATAATGATATTAATAATGATGACAATCAGAATGATTGTATTTATAAAGCATATATCCACGCTCTACAGCCTGCTTTATGTGCTTTACTACTGACAATGTATGTTATTGTCCCAGCAGACCCCTGAATACGCAGAAACCATATTGGCTTCCGTGGAAGCATACAGTGCAAGCTGTGGATTACTCATGCTCAAACACTAAAACAACTGACAAGATCTTTCGCTTTATTTTGCCAGGTAGGCTACCCATCTGCACCTGGGTGAAGTAAGGACAATTCTTTTAAAGTGCCTTTCCCAAGGACACAACGTCACCCCCCCCTCCTCTAATGGGTTATGAACCCATGACCTTTTGGTTGCGAGTCCAACAGCATAACCACTAGACCACCGAGTAGGACTTTTCGCATTAGACGTAGATCTACATGTGTACATGGATATATAAATCATTCACCAACCATTTTAGATATATATACACAAGCCTTTGAAACATGCACAAATAAATTATATTTCGTTTGATCTTTTTTCGATCTTCACACATTTAGAAGTAAGGACAGGTAGAGATGCCTAACGTTTTGCTGCTGGAAAATACAAGACTCCATTCGAGATTTTAAGGGGGGGGGGGGGGGGGGGGGGCTACACCTGGAGTCTATCTCGCTTATTACGGGACCGAATTTTACCAAAGTTCACACATATAACACGCATAGTAAGGAGTCTTAAAATCCGCAATCAAATTTGAGAAGAAAGTTTCGTTTCCATGGATACGCCGTCATATTTGATTTTATTGACATGTATTACGTAATGAATACCGCACTTATCGCTCATGGAAATTGATTGTTTTTTTGCATGCGTGTTTACAAACATTAGATCTAAAAATGTCTGTTGTTTTTTTCCTAAACGAATTAAACATTTTTTAATGAATTTTTTCCTGAGGTAGCATTCAAATTTGCGAAAAATCCGTGAAAATCCACACTCCTGACACCACCAACAAAGATCCATTCCATATATCAAAAATTCAACAGACACAATTTTAGTACTACCTCTTCTCTTCATTCTGTGAAAATTTCATGAAGATTGGATGAAAAATTTAAAAAAGTAAAGAGAAAAGTCGCGTTTTGAGAAAACAGCTGATAAAGAAAAATAAAATATTGACTTTATGAGGAAATGGCGGTCACAAACATGCCCGGTATGGGAAAAAATACGGTTTTTGGGGGTTCTTATGCGATGAAATAGTTGTAGGAGAGACTGAGGAAGCAAACAAAAAATGCCTACAACTCAAATTCCATGATTTTGAGCCGAATTTTAACTTTGAGGGTGTAGCCCCCCCCCCTTAAACCTTGGATTCTGGAGTAAAAGAAACATGATTCGAACTTGTCAGAATGACACTAGCGAAAAAGAACTCTCTTTGAGACCTTTGCGCTTTCACAAGTGTATCATGGACCACCAGTCAGTCTTTGCTGACTCTCAAGACTTTGCAAGGTTTTATTAACCATTACTGGCTCGTAGAGAGGGTAATCTGTATTCTTTACTGGCACCTAAGAGAGTATTCATAATTGTTATGAGAACACATTGTGGTTATTATAACTGGTCGCTTTTGAGGGCAAGTGGGCTAATCCAGATATCGGGGATTTCCAGAAAGCTTGACCTACACCAAAAGTGGGTATTGCCCTACTTATAGAAGTTTGGTCTCGTTGGTGTGCATATTTGTTTGGTTATAAATAGAGAAAGCTCTCCCGATCTTTTAAAGGAACAGAACAAGGGTCCAAAAAAATTTACATTCGATTTTCTCAAAACCTAGTTTTTCGGAATAGCCCGCTTGTGCTTAAAAGGAACAAAGATGTTCTACTTAATTATGCAGAAACCCGTTGTGGTAGTGGCCATCTTTTGAGACTGGGTTTTTTTGTTGCTTCTAGAAACATAGGCTGTGGTGTCGGGGAAAACGTTGAATACAACAGAGACTTTGTGGTTTTTGCTGAGTTTGACCTGGGTGGATCGCATAGTTGTTGGGAATTTTTGAAGGCTGCTCTTGTTGTTTTTGTTGTTGCTGTTGTTGTTGCTGTTGTTGTTGTTGTTGTTGTTGTTGATGTTGTTGTTGTTGTTGTTGTTGTTGTTGTTGTTGTTGTTGTTGTTGTTGTTGTTGTTGTTGTTGTTGTTGTTGTTGTTTGTAAAGCGACGAGCTTAGGGTGCCAGGGAGTCAGTAATAATTTCTTTGCTGCGCCAGTCTGTGAATTGGAGAAATGAATTCTCTCCAGGGCCAACTGTTGTTGTTGTTGTTGTTGTTGTTGTTGTTGCTGCTGCTGCTGCTGCTGCTGCTGCTGCTGCTGCTGCTGCTGCTGCTGCTGTTGCTGTTGCTGTTGCTGTTGCTGTTGTTGTTGTTGTTGTTGTTGTTGTTGTTGTTGTTGTTGAAATGGACTAGCCGTATGAGGGCTATCTTTCACAAGTTTGTTTTTGTCCGCAGTCGTCTCAGGTGAATGCTGTCCGAACATGAAGCAGTTTGTGTCCTCAAATAGCCAAACGTTTTGCCCATTTGGACGTCCGCTCACAAAGTCTCTGCTATAGTGGGCTATCCTCCATCCAATGGAGAGGCACTCGTTTACTCGAAAAAGATCTTAATTAAATCAATCAGAAACTATGACAAAGATGGCCACCTTATCATCGCCCGCAATGGGTCT